ACCCTCCTGAAAGCCTTATAAACCCCTACCCCACAATAAACTCCCTCTTTCGTCCGTCCCTCCCTGGTGGTCTGTGTGCTCCTTGCGGGGTCGCAGGGCCCCGTGCTGGGGCGGGGGGAAGGGCATTCACCTCGCAGGTAATGGGCTAGCAGCCTAAAGCCTGGAGGTCTCCCCCATTCCAACTAATCCGTCGGAATAAACAGTCAGAATAAAAACAGACACTAGTAGGACTTGTAGTCCTTCAGATATGTCTATACATTACTTTTATATCCCCTCTTCTTCATAGTTTCTGTAATAATTACTGTAATCCCACCGCGAAACTAGTAAATTCATAAAAATGGCAAAAAAATATAGTCAGTGTACAGTCACATAAAATGCTCTCCATGTAAAAAAAAGTAATGTAGTCTTTACATAATGTAGTCTTTGTAAAGACTACATTATGGCATGAAGTAAACATAAAGAGTGATTGGTTTTATAAAGAAGTGTAATGTATTTTGGAGTTAATAGCCACTAATAAACAGGATTAGACATTTCACACAACACTTGTCTACAATCTTTTGACTTTTCCCAAAAGCCTAAAATTTTTAGCCGTCTTTAAAATTACTAATTTCACAAGTTGCCTGCAAAACATCCCCACTGAAACAAAAAGAAGTATGACTTTGTCAAGTTTTAGAGGAAACTAGAAGTAATCAAGGGAAAACCTTAATCTTAAAGTGGATTTGTAAATTTCATCTGGAAAGATGACTGATGCGCTTTCTCCTCCCACACTGCTATAACTTTAATCTCACCTGGAGGAAAGAGAATGAAAGCAATCTGACACTTAGCTCACTCAGCTCTGCTTTCCAGACTGCAGCTCAGAGATAAGGAAGCAATGGAGGCACTGCTTCCTCTCACCCTTGGGTATTTGGGATGCTCTCTATGGGAGGATAAAAAGCAATTACTCCTTGGAATTCAACCTCAAAGTTTTATTAATTTAGCTAATTCCTGTGCCTTATTCATTATTAACATGTGTGGAAAAGTGCTCATTATCAACATTTACTGAAAAGCCCTCTGATCCCATCAGCTGGCCTTTACCCATATTTCCTTGTTCTCCCTGCAGTTTGCGCTTCCTAGACCAACTGCTCCTTGTGGACAGAAACTGTTAGGCTCCTCTTCAAAGTTCACAAGTTCAATCCTGTCTTGACTGGCTAAGTGGCATCTGCTTTCCTGTATGTGCCTCAACAGCACATACAGAACAACTATAAAACCTGTTTCCTAAGGAAGGTTTCTTCATGTAAAAGAGGTTTCTGTCCTCGCCACTGACCTTATTCTGGTCAAAATGACCGGATTAGCAAAAGCATAATATAAACTGTTAAAGCATTACCCACCTTGTTTTGCTTTAAATAGATCAGGGAGCACACACGTCTTAGCTAGAAGGTAAGAGCAGGTGCCAGCTACTCCATCAAACTGAGGCTGACAGCCTTTTCAAACAAGCCATGGCACAGGTAGTATAAGATGTGCTTAGTACAGCCATTAGTACATTTCATATAATTCCCATCAAAGCTAAGAGGCCAGCATCCATGGTCAGAGGCCTAGCTACACATAAAGGTTCAAAACAACCATCCTTCTCAGGAGCACTGTCATTGTCAGGGTGTGGGGGTCATCACTTTAGTCTGAGAACTTTGGCAGAGCACCGTTCTGGGTAGTAATGTTATCTCCTATAAAAGGTGCTTCAGATAGGAACAATAAAGATGAAGAGCTAGATGAGGCAAAACTGGTTTACCTTGTGTGTGAGAACCTGCCACCAGTCACAAAACCCAAGCTTGTGGGGGATCGTAGGCAGAGCAACAGGTGTCACCTCCTTGAGTGAAGTTTGGAAACAATACAAGGAGGGACAATATAACACGCTGATAATGCTATGAGGATATGAATCCCTTCCTTCTCCTTGAGCACTGGCAAATCATGAAGTTAGAAATATAGTCCATTAGGCATTACTCTTGTCCTCTATCTTAATACTTCAAATGCTTTTCAGATTCGAAGCAGAGTTAAACAATGCTAACTCAAGTGGTACCTCGAGACTGCCACGGCCAGTGGGTGTTCCTCACATCATACAGGCATGAGGGATGTTCTTTCTGGGATGATGGGCTATTGCTTTCCTGAATCCATCACATGGGCTGAAGATGATTGTATGCAAAATAGTCTAGTGCTGTGCATTGCAGTGTGCTCCCTCAGAGGTATGTGTTGGCATGCCAAAGGTGTGGTTGCAATCTATCACTCTGCCTCATTCAAATTGTCTTAACATAATTAAAAAGCACAATTAAGCTCCAGGCTACGATGTTTGAAGATCTCCTCAAGGTGTCTTCAAAGACATTAGTCTGCAGCATGCTAGAGCTTTTCAACTGTGTTATATTAAAAACATCACAATGTGCATTCTGTTTGCTTAGCACAGGATTTCAGAAGCAGAGCATGTGGTTTCCATGTTTAATCTGGAAGCACGTTAGGAAGAGAAGTGGGAGAACTAGACAGTGTTGTCTCTAGTACCACCCACTAATGCTGCTTCTCTAATGAAAACAAAATGGAAGCAGTAAAAGAGTGTGGTAGATTGGGACCAAGACTTCTGTCTGCAGAAAGGTATTGCAAAGTTCCTACTGTTTCTCCAGTAAGTGTAGGAAATTATTTTTAAACTATTTTTGCCAGTATCTTTTATACTAAACTTGTCTTCTTTTTCAAAGAGAAGCTACAATCTTTAAAATTAATCATTAATCTCTGCTACTAACTCGGCTTTCAATCAGAAAACATCATCCCTGGGACATCTGATCTGTTACTGTGTTGAAGATGATAGGCAGCTGTCTTTGAAATTAAGTGACACAAATTGTCAAATTATAAACCACGTGTGCATCCAAGTGTGCATGTGCTTCTAGTTAATTTCTGATGTGAATTGTAGATTTGTATCTGTAGATGTTGATGACACAGTTAATCTGTATTACAGCAATATTCATAAAATAGTTAATGAGTGGGAAAAACAGGGGGAGGAGGGCAAAGGAATGCACTTCTATCTGGCATTACTGACACTTTGTCTGGTGGATGCTTCACCTCATATGATCCAGAAGTCTCCAATACCAGTTCACAGTCCTGGGGAGGCTGCAACCATCCCTGCCCTCAGTACTCTACCAAAAGGTAAAAGAAAACAACAATTGTTGGCAAGGCTTAGAATCTGGCTATTAAGAGGAAAAACAAATTACCTGAAAAAGAATTAAAGATGTTCCATGAAAATGAAAAGTTTAGGAGAAAAAAAAAAAAAGAAATCTCAAGTGTGCTTTAAACCCCTTTGGTCAAGCAAGACTAGCATTAATTTCAAGTCTACATCATCATTCAGATGTTTTCATGCCATGGCAGGTTTAAGCCTTCAGTTCTCTCCTGTAACACTTGATGTTATATAAGATGTCATTTTAGAAAATATGAGACCATGTTGGAAATCAATTTCCTGAAGAGCTAGGAATAGGGTCATGTTGTTATCTAGGGTTATACTTGCAGCTCTGGCAATTTTCTTTTTTAATAAATATGGATAACTCCATAGGACTCCAAAGGACAACAAATATTGTCCTTTATCTTTTGTCTATGTTTCAACATTGTGGAAAAGATGCTTTGTGCAAAATGGGTCAGAAATCTTTCTGAAGACACAAAATGATACAAAGTCCTTGATCGAAAACATAAAAAAGCCAAAGACACTGCTACAGAGTTGTGTTGTGCGAGAGCCGAGCAGTCAAATACAAATCCTTAGTTCTGACCAGGAAACTAAGTAGCTAAGTTAAAGTGATTTACTATTCCAGACCCTACACAGGGCTTGCTCTCTCAGACACAGCACTGCATCGAGTGACCCCAGTGTTGGGCTGGATCTGCTTCACACCTCGGTGCTTTGGATCACAGCCAGAAGAGCTCCATTCCCTTTCCACAATTTTGTGCAGACAAGCCTGTAGAAGAGCCAGCCATACCAAATACATACAGCCAAATCAGACCTGAAAGCATCCAGGTCCTGCCACTTTTCAAATACAGGGTACTAAGTAACGTGAAGAGAGTTTAGCCCATGCCAAACCAGAACAACAACAAAAATCCCCCAACTCGCAACACAAACCAAACCATTTTTATTCCTTTGAATTACTTTTGCCGCCTTCTTGCTAGATCGATCATAGGTGCTTTCCTTTAGCACCAGGGCTGGGCAAAGCCGGATATCCACGACAGCTATTCTCTGCGAGCAGCCCGTGTGCCAGGTATGGAATACAAATCACTCAAAGCCAGGAGAAGCCTTTTGCCCCTTCGCTCTAAGGCTGCTAAGAAAAGCTGATGGCGTTTAGTTCGAGACTCCCATCAGGGTCCCTTTCCCCATGCTATAAAGTACGCGAACCGTGACTGCAGCCCTCCCCAAAAAGAGAGCGGCTCCCCGGCTGACTCTCCCTGGCCCCCACACCGGCGCCCCTCACTTCCCGACCGGGACCACCCTTCCCGGGGTTCGCGCCAGCCGGAGCCGCTGCAGCCCCGCTGCTGCCCCGGTGACCGGCCCGGATTCCCGCCTCCTTAGGGCCATCAGAGCCCCTCAGCCACTGCCCGGTCCGCTTTCCCCACTCGGGCACAGATCCTCTGCCTGCACCCGCCAGCCTGCCTCGGGCGAGACCGGCGGGGAAACCCCCGCTGGCAGCCGCGGCGGCGGGACGACTCCCAGCTTCCCCTCCTCCGCCGGCTGCGGGGTGGGGCGGGGGGCTACGGGCGCGGGAAAGGAGGAGCACGAGGGTAGGCAGCAAACACCGGGATCCGGCTCCGCGGAGGGGCGGGAAGCGGAGAAGGGCGAGCTGCCTCTTTAAATCTATCCCGTCCCGAGGGGCGTGGAAGGGGCCGCCAAGGGCGGGGAGGGGGGGGTTCGGCTGAGCGCGCGCGCGCGCGGCTTCGAGCAGGGAACGGGAGAGGGGGCGGTGGCGGCCGCGGGGGCGGAGCGGCGCGGAGGGGAGCGGAGCGGAGCGGAGCGCCGGGAGAAGGGTCGGCCGTGCGGGAGCGTGCGTGGCGGCGGCGGCGGCGGGGGGTCCCGGCCCGGCTCCCCCGCTATGGCCACGTCCCCGTGCAGCAGCAGCGGCGTCTCCTCGTCGTCCTCGTCGGGACTGGGCGCGGACGCGGGGCTGGAGATCCGCACGCGCTCCGTGGAGCAGACGCTGGTGCCGCTGGTGTCGCAGGTAGGAATGCTGCCGCGAGACACCTGCACCCCCCCCATCCCCCGCCCCGCAGCCCTCGAGAGGCGGGCGGCAGCGCTGGCTCCCGCCGGGAGGCTCTGACCGCCTCCCGCCGCCCGCTCGGGACGGGGCTCGGCCGCCGCCGCCGCCGAAGTTTGCGCGCTCGAGTTGCGGCGCTCCGGAGCCCCCTCTGTCCGGCCGCGCGGGCGGGGGTGGCTGCTCCGAGCCGCTCCCCCTCCCTCCCTCCCTCCCTTCTTCCCGTCCCGGGGTCCCGCCGGCCGGTGGCGGCTGGCTGAGCGGGGGCCGTGCGGGTGATGCCGCTCGCACGTCCGTCCCCAGACGGGCTCCGAAGTTCCCCGCAAGGTCGCGGGGAGCGTTGCGTAACGCCGGGCGCTGCGGTGCCGCCGGCGGGGCGAGCCCGGGATGCCGCGGTGGGTGGCGGGCGGAGGGACTGCCCCGCCGCTCGGGTGCTCCCGGCTTCCCGAGCCTCCCGCCTGGCGGCTGTCCGCGTGGGAGCGCGCTCCTTTCCTCGGAGCTTGGCGCTGGCGAGAGAGCGCTCGTCTTCCAGGGGCTTTGGCGGAGCTTTGTGTTTTCGCGGTCTGGCTTGAGCGTTGCATGGATTGGAGCTCGAACCGCGTCGCAGGGTAGTGTCCGATTTTATGAAGTTCAGTAATACGCAGACTGTGTCTGGGTGACCTCTTAACGTCTCCCTCACAGTGCTAAATGACCTTAAAATAAAATAAAAATCGGTGTGGTAAGTAATTGTTTGCCTGCCACTTCGGCGTTGGTAGGGTTTTTGTTGAGTTTTTTAGTTACAAAGTCGGTGTTTGGCAATATTTAGTTACAAAACTGGCGTTTGACATACCCATAAAATTTTCTTCCTTGAAAAATAATCTATGAAAACAGCACAGTGTTTGCTGTATGGAGTTTTTGTGCTTTGGGCACTGATCATTAAAGTTAGCTAGTAAAAACCTATCTGTACAAAATCTTTAGGCAGTATGTAAGAGCTATACAAAAATAATTAGTCCTGGTGAGGTCGAGTTGTGTTTATACCATCATAGCCGATCTGGAAACAAATGTGATAAGCCTTGTTTTGCGTTTGTACAGCTGGGCTGCAGGAAGGGTTTGTGATTGGTGATTGTGTTTCTGTACTTATCATGGTAATGTATATTTATTTTTCTGTTTGGAGAAATCAGTCAGTTCTGCAAAGCCCGAACCACTTGTTCCAAGGCAAAGTAAAGTTAAATAAATTTCCTAGTCCTGAAACAACTGGCGTAAAATACAGAGACCTCTTTTAGGAAACTTAAGAGCAATCAGAAGCAGATCCAATTGCAAAAGCTGAATGTAGTTGCAAATGTTAAATTCTTACTTTTAACAGATTTAAATGAAGATGTACACGTTCTTATTTCTCTGGAATACTCTTTAATAACAACGGTTTTACTTCTCTGTGGGTTTGTTGGACATGTAATATGTCATGTATAATTTTTCATTGACCACAAAACCTGTGACAGCATCTTCCAGAAGGGATAAGCAGCTTTCACTTCCTCTATATGCAGGGTAAGGTGTCTGAGCATTTGTGAACACTCAGAGCTTACTCTTTTGCTGCTAAAGGATTCCAGACAAGCTTGTTCCCTTGAAGCGTGAGCACTGAGCTCTGTTCAGATCCAGACTGAAGTTGCTGATGGTGTCAGCAGTAGCTCTCTACACTTGACTCCTAAAATGCCCCACTTACTGTAGTGGCTAATCAGTTCTGTCTGTAGTGTTTCATTTACATTGTTCAGTAGAGATCTCACTGGCTGGCTTTGTTTGGGAATTTATGCAAAATGGTGTTTATACGGTACTTAGTCTCAGAATTTGTTTTTAGGTTCTGCATAAGCTGTGTATGGCAGTAACCTTCAGGACTTTGTTTTTTTGCTTGTGGAAATACACTTGCAAAGGGCTTTTTTCTTCCTGTGAAGTTAACTTTACAGTTTACCATTTTGTTAAAAGCTGAGAAGTGTGATACTTGTATACTACTGAAAAAAAGAGTCAGAACGTTGCTACGTTCTGAGGAAACAAAAGGTGCTCTGTCTGACAAACTCACTTTCAGTCTTTCAGGAGGAGCTAAATCTTTTCTTTAAGGAAAAAAAGCTGCATTGATTGTTATTAAATTCATGTGCTGTACAGTACATCGTCCTGATTTTAATGTTGCAAACATGTGTTGACCACTTGCTCTTAGTCAGCAAACATGAGAGTTGTTTTGTTTGATTTTTTTTTTCTTATAGACTGTGTTGTAACAGAGTATATTTGCTACCAGCAGTGGTATAGAATTCCTGTGTTTTCACTGGGAGAAATTACCCTTGGAGTCTATTCAGACCCTGATGCAGCTTATTTCTAGAAGTGCCACAAATGACAAAAGAAGATGATAGATTTAAGCCGCAGTATTAAGCATATGTGCTAATACTTCTTCACTATATACATAGCTGTACTGTGAAAAGAATCATTGTACACTATTTTGCAAAGCATGTGGCATGCAGTTCAGAAAATGGGGCTTCTGGGGCCAAACACCACAATTTTCTTTAAAATAAGTAGAATTTTCTTCTTCTGGATAGGTGTCTTTAGTTCAGTGTTCCACGCATAAATGGTATGGCATTCTTTAAAAATCTAGACATTTCCTTCACTGCCGCTACCCATTTCCAGTCTAATTATTTTGGATTTTACTTTTTTTTATGGAAAGTTTTTGGCAACACAAGTCAGGAAGGGTGTTTGAAGTGGTCAGTGCTGACTCATTTAATAACAAGTCATTTAAGCAGTTGAGGAAAGGCAAAGGCGGGGAAAAGCACTTTCCAGGATGTGGTTCCACCAGTGACTTCCACAGCTGCCATTATGTACCTGGGTGCTGCTCTAGCAGCAGTTGGGTATTTTCACAGCTGTAGGAGTTTGTCTGTCTAGATCTGTTCTAAGGAAGCCTTCTGAGAAACTGCAGAATAGGATCTTGTCAACCTTTACAATGAGGTGCTTGGGGAAAGGAGGGAAGCTCTGAGCTCTTGTCTGTCTGGAGAAGAGAAGGTTCTGGACAGACTTGTAGCAACCTTTCAGTACCTAAAAAGGACCTACAAGAAAGCTAGAGAGGGACTTATTACAAAGGCATGAAGTGATAGGACATAGGGGAATGGCTTTAAGCTGAAAAAAGATATGTTTAGATTAGATATTGGGAAGAAATTCTTCTCTGTGAGGGTGGTGGGACAGTGAAACAGGTTGCCCAGAGAAGCTCTGGATGCCCCATCCCTGGAAGTGTCCAAGGCCAGATTGGGTGGGGCTCTGAGCACCCTGGTCTAGTGGAAAGTGTCCCTGCCCTTGACAGGGTGTCGGTGGAACTAGATGACTTTTAAGGTTGCTTCTGTCCCAAATCATTCTATGCGTCTGTATTCCCAAAAGAAGACAGTTTTCACAGTTGAAGGTGACCTATCCTCCAGCATCCAGAGGGCAGACCTCTGTGATTACAACTAGCTGCTCAACCTTCAGAAATCCCATTTTGTCATAGGCACTTTGGAGAATGATTGTGTGCCTGTGTATTACTGAACATGTTTTTCCAATTTTTTTGGTATAGGATATACTGTCAGAGGTTTTGGAATTGACTTGATCTATATAGTCAAAAATAAAAGTTTTTAAACTTTTCGGTATTTAACTACAAAAAGCCCATGATACCAAAGCTTCTGAATTTTGTTGTTTTCAGTCTTAGATTCTACATAAGTTAACAGTGGCACATGCCTTGAGTTGGATAAAACAAACCTGTTCTTTGGTGTTGTTTCCTTGCTTTCTCTGAAGCTAGCTAAAATAATTCCTATTTCAGTAAACGTTATATACCATTACATAATATTCTGTCAGTATTCTGTTTTTCCATAAGTTTCTGGAGTTAATTATTAGAGCCCAAAGAAGAACCAACAGCTGATGTTTTTCTACTTTTGTAGAAAGCTCCCTGATGCAGTTTTCAGACTGAAGATATGACTGTAGAATAGCCATTGTACATCAAACTAGAGGTCTGTATATAATCTGTGACCTTTTCTCTGTTTTTTTCTGATCAATTATCAGGGACTGATATGGGGGACAGTACTGTTTAACATCTTTTTTAATGGTCTGAATGTTGGGGTGATGGGCCAGCATGTTCAACAGGCATGTGAACTCCTCCACAGTGAGTTGGAGAGTGTCTGATACTGTAGAGAACAGGGCTGCTAGACAGAGGGACAAGCTGGAAAGATGATCTGACAGGAAGTTTGCTTATCTCTCCTCCCTCTTTATGATTATATGTAATAATCCATGTTACAATGCAGGTTTCTATGTAAGTCCATCGGTCATCTCCCTCTATTAAAGTGTACAGTCATTTATTTTCTCTTAACCTTCATCTTCTCATCATACTGTCTCTTAATAAGTAAAATACTCATACAAAAGGGCTTCTGTTTCTGTCATAGACTTGCTTAATGTCCTTTGAAATAGTATGCACTTTATTGCCTAGTTTTCTTTCAGCAGAGTGCCTTCTTATCCACAGTGATCTGTGATGTCTATAGAGAAATCTGGTTGTTTTGTGAGGCAGCAATTCCTTTAACAAACACTATGTTGAGTCTTTGTCAATATCTCATAATTATGCAGGTCTCCACTACTTCTTCCTAACTTTTTGTATTGATTTTCCATGTACAAGTGTTGGGCAGCCTTCATACCTCAACTGTCGATCTAGTTTTAGGCAGGAGATTGCATGAGGAAGTTGATATAATTCGTTGTATCTTTTAGCCCCTTGAAATCTTAGTGAATAATATCTAATGTTGTCAAGTTGTTCCAGTTCATTTTATCTAACACTTTTATAGCCTGTTCTGCAGTCACTTTGATTACACAGATTCTCAGAGTACATCACATAGGTACATTCTGGAGTAGAGATCACTTTGCTTTCTTTTGTAGTTTAGCACAATTATGAAGAGCTGCTCTGCTCTGTTCTTATTTTCTTTCAAAGGAATAGAACAAAACTGTGGTAA